TGATCAGGATCAGAGTTCAAAGCACTTCAAAAAGGGAGGTCCACAGAGCCCTTAGGGTTTAGGCAGAGGGAGGCGAAGAGGCAATATGATGCTTTCTAGAGGGGAGTTGCCAGAGCTGAGGCTGAAGACTGCCTGCTCACAGCTATAATGGAAAGGGCATGAATTTTAAAATTACAGATTTGGGTTTGAATCCAGCTCTGCTATTTATCCCTTGCCAATTAACTTTTGTGGAGTTTGATTTCATTAATAATATGAATAGAAATAATGACAAATAGCTCCCAGAGTTGGGTGGAGGTTGAACGTGGAAGCCTCTTGTCCAATGACACATCAGAGGGTGCTCACAAATGGTAGCTTTTATTTTTTGTGGTTGATATTGTTAACTTTGGACTTTTGGCTACCTATTTTGAAAACTCTGCTTAACTGATAGTTCAGTGGGCCATGATAAATTTGCACTAAATTTCTCTGCCTGTTCTAAGAATATTTTAACAGAATATTATTGGAAAAATTTTTGCTGATTATGAAGTCCAAACTTTTTTTAGAAATGTGTATTATCTTGAGAAAAAGACGTGATTTTTACCTTGTATAATAAAAGGGTTTTATACATTTATAATGATATAAAACTTACAATTAAGTATTTATATGCACTTGAGCTGAAAACTATGAAATTTAGTAGTTTAGTATAATTTATATAATTTAGAAAATTAAAAAGAATCAGTGATACTAATTCAGATTTTAAAAAAGAATACCAGAGACCAGTATTTTATGGGAGAGAATTAACAATGTTTTTGGTTTCCCACTAGTACAATTTGGCTTTTAAAATAGAAAACCAATTTTCTAAATTATATGATAATTACGACACATCTCCTAAACACGTTAAGTCATTATAGAACTAATATTTTTACTAAAAGTGAAAATGGTCTCAATGTCTTTAGGTCAAGAGCTTAGCCTACTGCTAAATCTTTTAAATTTACTATTTTCTATATTATTTAAAACAGACATACTAAAATCATACCTCAAATTCTTCAGTAAACCCATTACTTGCATGTAAGTCTGCAACATGCTTTGGAAAGTGCTTTATTGGAATTGCTCCAACATCATCTAAGTGAATAAAGAAATTGCATTAAGATAATTTAACAGAAATGAATGTGTTTGTTCTTTTTACAGAGCAAATAATTTATTTTCGATGTTAATTTATAAACACCACCAAAGCCTGACTTCTTATCAATGGACTGCATCTTTTATGGACAACTTGCTTTAACATG